TGCTGCCATCCCATCATGCCAAGGGATTCCACTCCTAGAGCAACAGTGAATCAAGACAGTCCAAATCAAGGATGAGGCTTTACTCACCTGTGGCAGAGGAAGTCTCATGGTACCCCACTCCGAACAGCTGAGGATCTCAGGATTTATCTGGCATCCTGCCTGCTCTATGATCTCCCTTGTCCTGTGCTCCAGACCCCATTCAGATGCTAGGATGAAACCTTGCAGCTGCAAGGGCATGAGATCCCACCACCAATGCCCTGGGCTGGACCACTGCAGAGTGGGGTTAGGAAGATGTCAGGCTGCTGCCAGTCCATCCCCCGAGTCGTCAGGAGTTGCCTGAAGTATCCAGCTTAATCTAGCAGGGGAGAGCGGCTCTCCCCTGTCCTCAGGAGAGCTGCCAGGAAGGGGCCAGGTCAACTGCAGCACACCCTGCCTGAGATGTTAGCACCAGCAGCAGCAGGGCCAGCCTGGAAGGAAGGTGTGTGCTGAGCCACGATCCCAAATCCATAGCACCTCTGCACTCCCTGTTGTAGCTCTGCACTCCCTGTTCTAGCTCTTCCTGCAATGTCTGTCCATCTGTGCTCCCAGGACGTCTGAGGCAGAGACACAGTAGCTCCTCTCCCTCTCAATGCCTAATGCAGCCATGCTGCACCTCCAGACTAGCCATAAGCAACTCCCCTCACCGTGCACCCACACTTTTCCCACCTCCAAGAGCTCTTGGCACCTTTTTTCCCCAGTTGCTGCTCAGGGATGCTGGAGGAGCTGTGGGTGAAGCTGGGCTCCAGGGCTGGGAGCAGGGTGTGTGGGCAGGAACTGCCTGGACTATGCGGGCCCGTTGCACACCCCTGTCCCCTTGGGGCTGGCCATGCAGGAGCAACGGACTTGCTGAGAGATGTGACAGCTTCATGTGTCCAAGACAACGGACCAAGACTGAGGCAACAGATAGCAGACTGAGCCTGGGGGTGCTAGAAACAGGCTTGGAGAGGGATCAGACTGGGAAACCACATGGGGAGATGAGACTGAGATCACAGAATCACAGAATCGCTCGGTTGGAAAAGACCTCTGAGATCATCACGTCCAACCGTTCCTGTCTACCCCCTAAACCATATCCCTAAGTACCTCATCTACCCACTCTTTAAACACATCCAGGGATGGTGACTCCACCACCTCCCTGGGCAGCCTGCTCCAGATCAGATGGAGATGAGATGAGGTGATCGTGATGCACTGCTGACCTGCTAACCTAGGTGTCACCAATGTTTGCAACTCTGGTAGCCCTGCTTCTGCCATTTCCACCAGTGCTTTCAGACCCGTTCTGACTAATCTTAACGTTCCTGTTACACATCTCCACACAGAGACTAGAATAAAACTGAGAGGAGGAGAACAGGCTAGGGAATGAGCTGGAGACATCCTCGCTGATGCAGCTCACACCAACACAGCCCAGCTTAGAGCTGCTTTTAGCTGAATGTTCTGGATGTTCTTGCAATATTTAAGTATGGATTTGATGGAAATGTCAAGATTCATTCTGAAAAATCAATGTTTTCTATCAGGAATATAAATGTGCCTAGACATTTTCAATGAATTCACTCCTCTTTCAGATACACCGGGCTGTGTTTCCTGCTTCCATTCATCACAAAAGGAATTCTTGGAGGTTTTAACACTTCTGTTATTCCCCCTATTCACTGTTTGCTTCAACTCTGTTCCTTTCTTGAAGGAAGATTTTGTATTTCAGTCTTGGCTGCTCCTTCCTGCCAAGACAAATAATGCATATCTCTAAATATTTTGATTTCTAAAACCTCCTCCATATCATATATCCTAAATAGTAGCTATTTATGGAGTCTGTAAAATCTATGCCTTATGGTGTGTTACAGCTTTCAATAGAAACCACACATGGTATCTTTGGATCCATCACCAGAACAGATTTGGGATGCAGGAGGAAGTCTTTTCTTAGCCCTGAAGACAGCCCACTCCACCACACCAACTCTTAGGTTGGAGTCACGTCTGGGGGACGACATTATCACAGTGCCCCTGGGAGCTGTCAGATCCCTAACGTGGGAAACTCCAGCTCTAGCTGGGAGCAAATCAGCTGGAAACAGAACGACTGGGGGAAGTCAGTGATCGCAGGGTGCTGCAGCTCTGAAAAAGACAAGCAAGATCTCAGATGAGAAGAGGTATTTTCCAAAGGAATAGAGACTTTCCAGCATGGGAATTGAAGTCTGCAAAATTATGAGTGGCCTATGAAGAGGGACGAATAGTGATTACTCACTGTCTCTCCCATGGGCCATCAAATGAAGCTGGCAAGAGCCAGGTTCAAAAAGAACAGAAAGAAGAGGCTTTTCATAGGAGGAGCTTCTTGCCAAGGGACGTGGTGTTTGCAAGGAAGTTTCCACATGTCTGAGTCAGGGCTTGGATTTCAAAGCAAAAAGCACAAGAAGATTTGTAAAATGAGAATGGTTGGAGGCTGGGAGTGCAGGCGAGGGAGGCAGCACAAATTCGTGCCTTTCTCTTCAAGAGGTCTACTGTGGCCCCCTTTGGAAACATGAGCATTGAGCTGGATGGACCCTTCGTCCACATCCTCTGAGACTGTTCATGTTTGCTTCCCCAGGACAGCCAGTCCTACAGGACTGTAAGGTCTATAGTGTAGCTTATGAAATTGCATTGAAATCCCCAGACTGAAATTTATATCAGGATATGCCTCCAGGCAAATATTTTTGGTAAATGTCAGCAGAAAGACACCAACTGTTTCTAAGCACAGAGCAAGGCAGAAATCTATTGTTGCAGTTTGTGCCATTTTCCCGGACAAATGTGGGGTGCCTAGAAAAGCCTCGCTTTTGGACCAAGAGCCTTAAGAGCAGGAGGTGGCCAACTGCTGTGTCAGGACGTGGCCCTCACAGAGATTTGGTAGGACTTCCAAGGACAGACGCAGGCTGCCTTTGCCAAATTACAGCCACACGTATGTACCCTTGTTTCCCTGAAGATGCCCTCAGCACTGAGCACCAGCCTTCCTGAAGCTGAGTGGGGTGTGCCCCGCAGCTCTAGCACTGTGCAACTGTTTTAGCAACGGAGGTTCAGAGAAACTAAGAGGAAACCCATTTGGGTGCCAGCGTTGAGACACATTTCTGAGCACTTGGCATTGCGTGGTACTTTGTACTTGCAAAGTCTGCCTCCTGTTGTCTGCAGCTGGAGGTACCCATGACGTCTGCAATTCTGACCATAAGATTTCAGG